CGTTGTGAGCACTCCAGAGTAAGTTGGTGAGCCTCCTTGCATTCCAGATGACTCATTTTATTGCTTTTAGTTACTTTGTTAGTTCATTAGAATGTCGTGGGGTTTGTCTCGACATCCATCTCAGTTATTTTAGAGGCTTCATAGACAGTCAAATGTTAGTTCTTTAGTCTTTTAATTGACTTTATCATTTCATATGTTAAGACTTGAGTTGCCATTTTGGCCAAGTTGAATGTTTGACTTTTAAGCATTCTTAGTATTTTGTTATTCAAGTGAGTATAATGCTTTTGGTCATTGTAAATATGCATAGAGTCTTACGCTGAGTTAAGTAAGCCAGGCCAAGGGTTCGCTTGGGGCCCACAATGGTTCTCGAGTGCCAGTCTCTCCCAGGGTGTAGGCTCGGGGCATGACATCTACTATGGACCTAGCCACGAGGATGTAAGTCAACATCGCCAAACCCTACACTTTGGAAAAAATGTAGAAAATATGGGTTAGTACAAAAATGCACTAAGTATGATAACCATGCATAAAAACCTTTAAAACATGCTAAAAAGACATTTTAGTTGAAAAACATACATTTACCAAGTTGAGAATCATCATGCACTTTAGTATAAAAACATAAGTCACAAGCATATTCAATATATAGATCATCATATCATAATGGAAACATACCATAATAAACTCAAAGCATCCTTGTGCAATGCATGAATAAGATCCCATAATCCTACCCACACTAAGGAAAGCTTCTTGAGTAACTATAGTTCATAATTCATATTCTTGTTCATGCTATCATAGCATAAGAGAACCATCTCATGAGTGACCCTAAGTTATACTTGTGCAATGCATAGATAAAGATCCCATAATCCCATCTATACTAAGTACCACTTTTAGGCCACCATAATCATAATTACCATTCTTTGATCTCATCTTTAGTTAATACTTATAGACAAAGAAACCTTCACATTTATTAAATCATATCAAGGAAATCAACTCTTAGCAACAATCCACACTAAGCATACTTCATTACAAATTAGCCTACATATCAACATACTTAGTAGCATCATCATAAGCATATTTCATAAAACATTATAACATTAAAAACACACCATAACTACTCTCAAAGCCTACTTGTGCAATGCATGGATGAAGTCCCATACTCCCACCCACACTTAGTAGTGCATTCTTGAGAAGCCATAGTTCATAATCATTCATTGTGGGGGTAAGCCTTAACCGACATAGACCATGTGAGCAAATCATGGAATCTGGTGTTACCCAGATCGAAAAGGGTGGTTTACTTGCCTAAGGTAGGACCGGTAACATTTAGCTTAGGTGGATCCACTAGCTAATAACCTATGAGGGCACATAATTTATGGGATAAGGAGATTGTTAATAGATATCCCACCTCAACTCACATATGGGCATCCATCTCAAGAGATTGCTACTAGAATCCCCGCCCATCTCAATCAATATCCACTCGGTGCTTGACATTATTCCCCACGGAGTACTTAACATTTTTATTACTTTAGTTCATTATTATGGGAGAAATGGGATAGTAAGATTGCTACTAGATACCCCACCTCAACTCATGTATGGGCATCCATCTCAAGAGATTGTTACTAGAAACCCCGCCTCAACTCACATATGAGTTTCCATCTCTATCAATATCCATCTCAACCCAACATCATTCATAAGATAGCTTATAGATTCAATAGGTGAAAATAACCTTTCACCTAAGAATCCCCATATTGTGAGAAAACCTTTCACAACATGTCATCATCATTCATAAGTGTATAATTGAGAATAGCCTTTCAATCAACACATCATCATTATCATAATCATAGAAACTTCATTCATAAGTGTGTATGTGAGAATAGCCTTTCAACAACACCACCATTACATCATAGTCATAATCACTTTATTCTCAAAGGATTCATAAAGCATGTACATAAACATCATGATCATACATAAATCTCGTAATTTGCCATTCAAGGACCATAGATCACATTCAATCAACACACCTACAATTACTACATTAGGCATAGACAATAACATGATTAAAGCAATCAATTCATAACATTCATAATTCTATATCATTCTATTTGCATCAATCAATACCCACACTTTAAGATCCAATTTGAGAAATTAGGGGAATTCATGGATTCTTGAAGAATTCAACTTAAAATCATATAAAATCATCAATATATCCATAAAAAAACATAATTCAATCATTTAAAATGAATTTGAAAGGAACCCATGAGATTGAAGTCAAACCCTAACTTTTGGGTTTTCTAACTTTGAATTGAGGGGTTTTGAAGGGGCTTTATGGGTGAAGGCTACCCATAGATGAAGAGATACCATACCTTATTGACGATTCACCTTGAATTTGAGGAGAAAATCTTGATTCTTCAACCCTAGCTTCTCCTTTCTTCTTCTTTTTCCTTGGAATTCTAGAGAGAGTTTATTTGGGGAAAGTTGGTTATGGGTTTGGGTTTTGGGATTTTATGAAGTGAATGGGTTAGTTAATGACTTAAAAACTCTTATATAGGTGTATTAAACCAATATAAAACGACCCCACATCAAACTAACCTAAAAAGAAATTACCTAAACTACCCCTTACCTTGGCCGACCTTGGACAGAATTGCAGGCATGACCCATGACCATGACCCACGGACCGTGGGTGGGACCACGGCCCGTCCTGGTTGGGCGTGGTTCGTGGTCTGCAGCCTATTGAGTGGGAGCTTGAGCTACGAAGCTCACCCACGAGGCATGGATGGACCTACGCCTCGTAGGTCCCCATCCGTAGGTCACTTTTTGGGCAGTTTTGGGGTAGACTTTAGGGTCCTCCTCAAGGACCCTTGGTTGGTTCTTGGGGAGTCGTACCTTGACATTTAACCCCTAAACCCTTTATTCTAAGTACGAGAAGCAAATTTTACGACTCTAACACTTACGACAAGCTCTAGTTAAGCTTACTAATTTCCATGGTGTTATAGGCCCAATACTATTTTAACTTGTGGGAGATTGCTGTTTAAAGCTAAAATAAAGTTTAACTGCTGATTAATCGTACGAAGAAGACCAATATGATACACCAAGGGTATATTATCCACCTGAATTTTTCTTATTTGCTAGGTGTTGTTTGAAGGTTAAATTAAGTTAAATTTCTTCAATTCAGTTATGAGTTTAATTTCTTACAAGTTTAATTAGTTTAGTTGAGTTAAAAGAGAAGACTAGGCAAATTAGGTAATTTTAGGTGAAATCAGGTCATTTGGGGGAATCCATCCAATTAAGAGGTATTTTTAATACTTTAATAATGATAGAGATATATTTGACTTTATAATATAACGAAAGACAAAGTTAACCAATAAATGAAGGTAGATGGATATTTTTGGCCCCTTTTCTATTTTGTAAGCCGATGATGCAAATTGATAACTAGTGAAAATTGTCTCAAAAGAAAAAGAAAGACATCTAGTTGTGTTTGGTATGAATGAAAGTGTTATCCTAGAAAATGTTTTCTTGGAAAACAAGTTGATTTCTAACAAGTTGTGAGTGACAAATATTTTCTAGTGTTTGCATAGTGAGTGATTTTTTTTTCTTAAGAGAATATCTTTTATTTAAAGCTAGAGACTAGAAAATACTTTTTAGGAAAATAGTTTCTGACTCGAAAATCAACCTTGATAATCGATCCATGATCCAACTTCGACACTACCTCGACGATCGAAGACCTGATCCCAACTCTCGACCCATGACCCAACACCGACTCCCGATCTAGGACCCAAATGACTCCCGACACAGGCCCGACCCGACTTCTTATCCGAGATCCGACCTCGACATTTGATCAGGACTCGACTTCCAAACCGGGATCTGACAACGACACCGGAACTCGACATTTGACACAAGACTCCCGACGGAGAACTGATCCTCAACTCCCAATCCTGACTCTGACAACGACATCTGACACTAATGATTGATCCGGGACTCTATCCCGACATCCAACTCGAAACTTGAACCCAATACTCGATCCTGATATGAGACCGGACACCCGACGCCCTCCACTCGAACTGGACCCGACTTCTGAACAAAGACCCGACCTCGACTCGTGATTTCTGACTTCCAACCTGAGACCCAACCTCGACATATGATCCTGGACCCGACTTTTGAATATGGATATGATCTGGCCACGACACACAACCCCGACATTCGACACGAGATCCGAACACAACTCCCGACTAGGACTTGACCCAAGACCCAACCACGGTATTAGACCCTGAACCCAACTTTAAAATAGGGATCTAATCCCGACACCCGACCCCGACCCCAACATCTGACACGAGACCCGACCTTGACTCCCGACCTAGGATCCGACTTATGACCCGACTTCTAAATCGAGATCGACCCCAACTCCCGATTTAGGACATAAATTTCAAAGTGGGGCCTAACCACGAGACCCGACTTTTGAACCATGATCTGATTCCGACACGACCTCATCGATCGATTTGGGACCCAAACCCGAATCCGACATTTGACTTGGGACTCAACCTCAACTCTCAATATGAAATCCAACTTCAACACTTGACACGAAACCCATCCTGACACCTGATTTGGGACCCAACCCTGAAACCCTACCCGAAATTTGACCCCAATTTTTGACTCAGGACTCTACATCCAAAATGGGATCTGACCTGGGACCTAGGAGTTGGGTCTCGAGTTGGGGTTGGGAGTCGGACTCCAAATCAAGAATCATGAGTTGAATCTCGGATTAGTATCGGGAATCGATACTCGAGACTTGAATTAGGATTGAAAGTTGAGGTGTAAGTTTGAAAAAAAAGTTTTCTTATATTTTGGAGACAAGTCACTTTCATTAAATTTGAGGTAAACAAGTTAATTTGGAAAACATTTAACAACAACCAAATATAAAAAAATTGGAAATTTTCCTTGGTCCCAAACACGCAAGGTACTCTGTTTTTCCCAAACTAACTGGATCCTTTTTTTAACCATAGTCTTCAACCTGCTGGTCCAAAATCAAACGATTGAGGTCCTACTTGCAACTATACTAGTCATTTCCCCTCCTTACCCGCCCACTGGCACTGACTGGCTCCTTCCTTTTGCAGAGTGCAGATCCACCTAAGCATTCATTCATTCAGCCAGCGCTTTCTCTCTCTCACTCCATGCATTTGATCCAAAAACGGTAAAGCAATTCTTCACAATCAACAGTTATTACTCTTCAGATCTACACACATTCTCGTATAGATCACACCCATAACTGAAAAAGATGGATTCAAAGCCTTCCCCATCATCGGGAAGGTACGAAAATAACAAGAAACCATATTTGTCGAAATCAGTATCCGATGCTAATAGCCATAACCAAAGCTTAGCATCAATTCTTAACAACCCACATGCTGGAAAATCAGATGGATGGTGGTGGCCATCAAATTCCTCATCCCTTCCCGTCGTTCCTGAATTCACCCCACTAAACCCACTTCCAAAACCCGGATCTGATATTGCCAGAACCGATTTTCTCCCTTACATTACATCCTTTTCCGACCCTTTTGCTCGTTTTCACGATATCCAACAGCACAGTAAATCCAGCCTCCTCGACGATCAAAATGGTGAAAATGCCCTTGTCGCATGTCTTCGAGAAGTGCCCTCTTTGTACTTCAAAGAAGATTTTCAGTTAGAGGATGGTGCCACCTTTAAAGCTGCCTGCCCATTTAGGACTACGGCGGAGAATTTGGTTATGCAAGAAAAGTTGTCACAGTATTTGGATGTAGTGGAGCTGCATTTGGTGAGGGAGATCTCTTTGCGTTCAAGCTCGTTTTTTGAGGCACAAGGGCAACTGGAGGATCTGAATACAAAGATAGTTGAAGGGTGTAAGAGGATCAGGGAATTGAAAGAGACAATAAGGCTACTGGATACTAATTTGGTGGGGCCTGCAAGAAAGTTGCAGGAGCTGAATGTAAAGAGGAGTGATTTGGTTGCTCTTCAGAACAAGCTGAAGCTCATTATATACGTTAAGCAAGCTTTGTCAACTCTCAATTTGGTATGTTTGGTTCCGGAACATCTTTAGTTCTATATCTGTTTCTTAATTCTGCCAACAATCTGCACTTATGCTTACATTATGGATAATGCCACTAACAATTATCTAGAGAATAGATGAAGTCGGAGAAATTTCATGGAGACTATGTGAAAATGATAGTGGATAAACAGTTTTTATGATCTTCTTTGATAGAAGAAAGAAGTTGTACTTATTGGAGGAAACCCTCTTTTATGATGTTGTTAGAATAGTGTTAGTGATATGTACTCTCTAGTTGACAGTTTTTGAAAAAATAGATTTATGATAGATGTATGAAAACAGAGGATTGACAATTTCTTCTTAGGTGTAGCTTAAGGATAGGTTATAAAATTATGACAATAAAACTCATTATCTTTTAGAAATCTTGTTTTTTTCTTTGTGGCAACTTGAATCTCAATGGTGATTTGGTAGGTCCTGGTAGTTCAACTTAAGGTTAGAAATGAAAGAGTGAGTAGAGGCCGTGATAAAAAATAAAAGAGTGAGAAAGAGGCCCTGTTAAAAATTAAAAGAGTGAGAAGAGGCTCTGATATAAAAAATAATAAAAGTGAGTAGAGGTCTTCCATGAAAGAAAGGTAAGAACAAAGTAGTTACAATAAAAAGGCGAGCAAAGAGAAAACCTCTTAAAAATACAATCTTGCACTTAGAAATTGACCCTATGACGCACTAAAGCAAAGTGACAATCAAATGGAAGAATACATGGAACTTTCTTAGTGTCCTGTCAACATTAACTTCAGTAATATTAAAGCTTTTGGTGGAGATGCCAAACATAGATGCATATAAGATTATAATTGTTTTGATATTGGAGAAATCCCCTGTGACTTCTGCCCGTCTTTAGTTGGCGCAAAGGTTTGAAATTTCGAGGAGTATGACCTCGCCACTCTACCTTCCTCCCAACTTAAATACTAGCACGCAATAGGGATCGAATCCATAAATGTGCCCTAATCCACATATCACGTGCTGTGTTCTTACTACTAAACCAAAGCCTCGGGACATTTTTTTTTGGATTATAATTAGGGGATTAAAAATGTAACTTGTTTCTTGTTTTTGGGTGGGTCTTCCATGGAAGAGAAGTAAAGATGAAAAACCCAGGTTAATCTCTACATGGCTTACACCCAAAGTTAGGGATGAGGATAAGGAAGCAAAAGTGTATACCAACATGATTGAGAGAGAGGAGTAAAGACTTGAATGGGTCAAGTGTAAAACTTCTCCCGACAAGTTTTTGGGAGGAGATAGTGATATAGAATTAAATAGATTGTTTTTAGATATCTACTATGTTGGAATTGCAAGAATTGGCAAAGCTGGAGGAAATTTCATGGAGCCCAAGATCCAATTTCTTGTGGATAAAGGCTGGTGATAAAAATATAAAGTTCTTTCACAAGATTGCAAATGCTTATAGAAGATGCAATAAATTGAGAACCCAAAAGTTTGGGGAACTGGTGGAAGACCAGGAGGAGATCAAAGGGAAAGCGTCACTTTTTACAACAATTTGTACATGGAGTATGAGAAGTGGAGGCAAACCTACTACTCAGATTGTTCCAGCATATCTGAAGAGGACATTGAGTGCTACAATGACTTTCTTTGTGGAAGAGGTCGAGAAAACCAATTGAAGTTGTGAAGGAGAAAGGCTTCGGTCTAGATGGATAGAACATGGCCTTGAGAAATAAATAACATTAGAAGCTTAGGGTGTAAAGTTCATTAGCCATTGAGAAATAAATAACATTTCATGAAACAATATATAAAGTATTAACATTATTTATAAAAATTAATATATTTAATTATAAACTTTATGTATATAATTTATTGCTTTGGTTCGGCTTTTTCTTCGGGTCGTTTTTAATAAAGTCATACCAAATCAAATACTATCGTTTCAAAAAAAAATTAAAACTAAGTCAAACCAAAATAAAATTTGGTTTATTTAATTGGTTTGGTTCAGTTTACGTTTGGATCAGTATTTAACCAAACCAAGAACACTCCTAACAACATGTACAACTCGTAAATGAATCTACTAGTCCACTGCATCCAAGATGGAGCATGGTACAATTGAAAATCTTGCCACAAAATTCTCGATCATATTATCTCAAGAAGAGATTGTTTTGTTATTGCTATCACTTGGTTAGTGATAAAGAGATCATGTTTAACACAAGAAGTTCTCAGAAGAGTAAAGAGAGCATGTTTTACAAATTTCCTATCACCTCTACTATTTGATCTACATCCACTATACATAATTGTTTACACCAAAAAAGTAAAGATACTAAGCAATTCCATTTTCCTTTGTGAATGGAATTGGATCGATCTTCAAAACATCTTCCATTCCTTCCATTCCTTTCTCTCCACACAGACCACCATATACATGATGGTATCAATTCCCACCATTTCTTTTGAGTCTTGCTTCCCCTTCTTCTGCTCCAACAACTGAATAGATTAGCTGTGCTCTGGTACGGCCCAACTTTGACTGGTGATGTTGAGAAAAAGTTCCTACAGCGGTGCTGTGAACTTACAATGTAGGCATAGGTGACTCTTTGTTTCCCCAGTTAGATTACATAGAAAACATCTTGGTACTAGTGTCCTTCCTTTCTTCTGAAGGACTCCTTGGGATAGGCATGCTTTTCTAATTACTAACCAGGTGAAGCATTGCACTTTTGTGGGAATTAAACCTCTCCAAATATTCTTCCTTTGATATTGAGCACTTCTAGATCTCCCATGTCTCCCTACCTCTTATAGGCACAGTTAACTGTGAACTTGCCCTCCTTGTTGTGTTTCCAGATGACCCTGTCTGTTGCATTTGCGTCAAGGCTAGTACCCCCCAATTTTTCCAGTAATGAGGCCACTCTCTCTATTTCCCAACCATTCAAAAGTCTTCTTAAGGATAAGTTCCATCCTTGTGTACCAGCAATCACATACCTTGGCATCAGGATTGCTGCAAATGGAGAAGAGGTTCGGAAATGATTCACTCAAAGGGGTTTGATTAATCCAACCATCTCTCCAAAATTTTAAGTTGTTGCCACTTCCCACTTTTAGAATCAGATTTTCTTCCATAAAGCTCCATAATGCTCTTATTTTATGTTATGTTGGAATTTGAAATAAGAGTAATATGTTAATATTTTTTTTTTTTTTGAATTTATGGTTTATTTTGAGTTCCAATTTATTTCCTTTAGTAGTATGGACATGCTATTTCACATTACATGCCATTCATTTTTCAGTTAGAATTGATAGATTATTTTTTTGGTCAAACATTTGAATAATTTTATGAAATTATATTTATAACATTGATCTTTTTGTCCAACATCATGCAATCTATGATGTTCTTACAAAATGTTTGCTTTTTAGTTTTATAAATCTATTAAATTCATATATATTAATTTGAAAAATATATATTTATTAAATAACATATTTTCAAGAGACAATATGTAACTTAAATACCTAGTTTAATTTCATTTATGAAGGCACATATTTGTCTATTATTAAATTTTATTTTATAAATTTAATTTGTATAATTGCCCTTGTGAAACCAAATATTACACTTGTTATTACATTATGCAAACAAACAGGTTGTCGTAATTACTATATTGTGTAATTACTAGGCTGTGTAATCACTACCCTAGTAATTACACCAATTTCAATTACCTGGGTTTTCCAAACAAACCCTAAAATGTCCCTACACCAGCCCTATCCCCAATATTATTCTCTTTGACCTTGAATGAGATATTTTTCAAAAAATAATCCTATCCCTTCATGATATTTCTCTACAAACCACAACCTAAAGGCAAAATGATCTCTCTAGTTCTCCACCACTCTTCCGCAATGCCATATTTATCAACTATCACCCCCATCCGCTAAGCTTGTACCTCCACCCCAAACCTCCAAAGCCATTTGCCCAATAAAGCTTTATTAAAGACCTTTAAATCTTTAATTCCAAGGCCTCCCCATTTTTTAGGGGACCTATGTATAAAAGATGATTTCTACAGTTGATGATCTCCACGGTCGAAATTTTTGGCTTATCAATGCTATCCACATGGATTTTTCTCTTCACATAAGGTTCTTAGACAAGAGGGCTATGACTGATCAAGTGCTCTATTTAAGAATTATACTGTCGGTTTTTGAGTTGGTTTCTGGGCTGCATGTGAACTTCTAACAGAATCATCTCTTCCCTATAAACGAGGTCCTAATCTTCAGTTCCTTGCTGATATTTTAGGTTGTGTGGCATCAGTTCTCTTCCTACTACATACCTTGGCCTTCCTTTGGGTGCTTAAGGCAAGCTCTATTGCAATCTGGAAGGGAATGGAAAAAATGCGAGAGGAAGTTGTTGGCTACTTGGCTTGGAAGAGACAATACTTGTCTCTTAGGAGTCGTTTGGTAGGATGTATTAATTAAAGTAGTCCTTGGACTAAAATTTAATCCATCCAATACAATGTTTGGTAGCACATTTCAACTCAAACCCACCTAATACATGGATAACTTAATACACCATATGTGGTCTTATCTAATACCAAGGATACCTAGGGATTACTAATACCATGTTTAATAAGCCTTGGATAAGGCAACAAAATGACTGAACTGCCCCTCAATTTCTTTATACACTCTTCAGAATTGGTAAAGAAACACAGGATGGACCATGTGAATTGTTTTCCAGCCTCCTCTTTTTTTAGCCTCCTCTTGATATCATGTGTTAGTTCCATTGGTTTTGAATTAAATATGAAATTCGACATGCCAAAATGGTGGTATCTGCAACCTTTTGACAATACCAGTAATTCAACTAATTTAAGCGAGCCTGAGTCGTCTGGCCTTCTGCATTTGCTCATTGCACTTATCTTGTATGGTTATTTAATTCCCAGATCCCTCTATAACAATTCATTTCTCGAAATAGTCATATTTGAGGGGATAGGATAATGTGATGAGTAATATTGGCCAATGGAATGCACTGAAGCTCACCAACGGAATGAACATGAAAATATGTCAAAATGCTATACATAAAATAAAAAATCACATGATAATTCAAGGGTATAATTGGAAATAAGCTTCATGTAGAGTCTTAAACCACACACAAGATTAGGTTGGAAATAATGAACCAAACACTTGATAAAAACAGATAAGTTCTGGTGGCATTCAAGACTTCAAATGGCCTTGGAAGCAAATCTGGAGGATCAAAGTGCCACACAAAGTGGCATGCTTTACATGGCTACTAGCCAATGAAGCAGTTTTGACATTGGATAATGTGGCCAATTAAGGAATCTCTCTATGCAACAGATGTTCCTTATGTGGTAAGGCTAATGAGACAGTGAGACATCTCTTTTTACATTGCAACTTTACTGAGCAGTTGTGGCAGATTTTCCTTAATCTCAGAGGCATATCTTGGTGTATGCCTAGCAAGATTGATGAGACTCTGTTCAGTTGGGAGATGGTGGAGTTGGGGCTACAAACAGAGAAAGATGGAGGATGATCCCTGCTAGTACTTGGTGGACTATATGGAGGGAGAGAAACGAGAGATGTTTTGAGAATAGGAACAACAACTTGTAGGAAGTAAAGCTTAAGTGTATTTTGTTGTTCTGCTTTTGGTGTACAAATGTCTACTCCAATGAAACTGAGTCAATCATAGATGTTTTAGGATCCATTTAGATTTGGTTCAGTTTTTGGATAGATTATACTTCCTTTCTGCTTTTGTAAATATGGTTTTTCAGTACTACCTAAGTACTAAATGAAATACAAATGTTACTAGTTTCAAAAAAATAATAATCCCTGCATTACTAATCCCTACATTGCTAATCCCTGCATTGCTAATCCCTGCATTACTAATCCCTGCATTACTAATCCCTGCATTATCACTCTTTCTACCAAATGACCCCTTAGCGTCGTGTTTTTTTTTTTTGGTTGAGAAGTTAACATCTCTATTATCAACAACGGAAGCTACACCAGAGGTGTACTTTCAGTATTAGTTACAAGTAGTAGCTAAAGGAAGCAAAACCTACCACCTAACCTCTTGAACAACCTAAGATACTAGAAATGTTCTCTGCCTCTTTGGGAAATTCATGAATACACCAAAAATAGATAAAACACTAAACAATTCATTTTCAGTTTCTGGAAAGTGTTACTCTTATCTTCATAACATCTCTGGTTTCTCTCCTTCCATATTGACCACCAGATACAAGCTGGGACAATCTTCCATCTGTTCCAGCAAGCCAGAACTTCTGATGTTCCTTGGCATGGTCCGTCTGAGCCCTCTCAACTTGATGTAGAACTGCCAAACCTGTTCTGTCACTTTACAGTGTAAGAAAAGTTGAATATGGTCTCAGCTTCAGATTCACAAAAAAAAAACATTTGGAACATAGATGAAGACCCTTTTCATCAGTTTGTCTTATGTTAATACAGCTTGCCTGGCCATCAACCAGAGAAAACATGCCACCTTGTAAGGGATCTTAACTTTCCAGATCATCTTCCAAGGGCAGGAACCAACTTGAGGACTTGTTTTGCTGTTGCATCTAAAGGCAGATTTGACTGAGAATCTCCCCTACTTGTCCTTCAGCCACACTAATCTCGCTACCTTGGTAGAAAATTCCTTGAACTGTTCAATGTTATGTTAGAAGTCTATCAACCTTTCCATTTCCCAGTCATTGAACATTCTCGTAAAATTGAGCTTTGATCCTTGATTATCTCTGACTTCCAGTATTATTGCTCCCTGTTGTTGATTCAGAAGGTATATTTGAGGGAATACAATCTTCTAAGGTTTATGACCAATCCACATCACTCCAAAAGGCAATGAAACAAAGGAGCAAACATATATCTTATTTGTGTGATGCTTTGATAGCTAGATTATTTTGGGACTTTTGGACTTCTGTTAAAAAGTGCTGATGTATTGTATATCAAACATGGAGTTGTATTGTACTTCCTGAGATTAGTTCATAAGTAGCTGCTAATAGGTGTTGTTCCCTCTTTTCACTTTTTGGTTTGTGTGAACGAACGTTTGCAAAGGAAGGAAAGAACGTGTGAAGGAAAGGTGAATATCGTATACACAGAGCATTGAATTTAGGTACAACTTAGTAGAAGAATGAGAACCGTGGTTCTGCGAAGGAAGCAGGATGTTCACTGGGATAAAAAGATTCTAATGTATTCAAAGTGGAAAAAACCGATTGCTATGTTTGTTCCTTGAGCGGTTAACTGAGGAGGTTCTATTGGCCAACTAAACGTATGTGTGTTGGGTCTTGAATAAAAGGTAAAAAAGAACTCAGGAGACCTGGATGAAGAAGGAAATGTTGGAACAGGGGTATCATTTTATCTCTCACATGCCTGAAACATATATAAATCCTGAATTCTTTAGTTCGGGCCTGCAGGAAGAGCATACGGGAACCCGACGTGCCTTAACACACCGCAACCACTAGTTTGACTCCTTGTGTCAATTACGAGAAGAGGGTTTTCTTAAGCCAAGTGAAAATTCACTATAGGTATTCCATTTGGATGGTTTAGTGCGAGGTTGAAGATTTTATCTGTATCTCACTCCTCGTATCATTCAAAATTTTAAGATATTTACCCTTATGTTTTCATGCTTGCATGGACAAGCAATGGTCATCTTTTACCAGGTCGCCATGTGACAGCCATTTGAATTTTTGCTTTTTGGTAATTTTAATGTTTTTTGGCATGAGAAATTTGGGATGCTACTCCATTTGTCTATTGACATCATAACAGAGGAGTGATTACTACCAAGTATTCTTCTATTCTGATTTTCATGTTTTGGTGTGTGATTTGCCTTTTTATTACAGTATTTTGAATCCTTGTATGAAGAACAAGGACAGGTTGTACTTCTGGATGTGTAATTATGGATTTCAGCACAACCTTTGGTTGATGAATACACTGTTACCTTTCTCAATATTAATCCGAGTTAGCTCTTCATCTGTGTTCAGACTTATCCTTGATTTTCATGTTTTGTGTGTGATTTGCCTTTTTATTACAGTATTTAGAATCCTTGTAAGAAGAACAAGGACAGGTTGTACTTCTGGATATGTAATTATGGATTTCAGCACAACGTTTGGGTTGATGAATACACTGTTACCTTTCTCAATATTAATCCGAGTTAGCTCTTCATCTTTGTTCAGACTTATCCTTAAGCTATTGAAAGTGATATTTTCAACTTCATGGTATTTATCTAACAGCTATTTTATACAGCTAGTTGCGTCTGCAGATTGTGCTGGAGCTTTAGATGTTACAGATGACTTGCAACATTTATTGGTATGTGAATTCGTGTTCAATTCCATTCTTAGCCTTTTCTATATATTGACTATCTCACTCTAGATTCTTCTTGGATTTCATTGAGGTTGTACCTTTTCTCTCTCTCAATCTCTTTCTATCCTTTCGAAGCAGCAATACATCAAACTTCGGAAATCCGTTCAGTTTATGATGCTTTGATTTTTATTGTTGGCTTAAATTGCTAAATTACATAAAAAATTAGAGAAAATTACAGCCCAATACCTTTGAGCCACCATCTAGTTTTAGGGCTGGGCATTCGGTATTTCGGTTCGGTTTCGGGTTTTTTTTTCGGTTTTTTCGGTTTTCGGTTCTTGTACAACGTGTACCGAACACCGAACCGAAATAATTCGGTTCGGTTCGGTTTTTATTATTTCGGTTCGGTTTTTGTTATTTCGGTTCGGTTTTTGTTAATTCGGTTTTTTTGTTATGGGCCTGCTTAGTGGGCTTTTTAAAATTTTATAATTTTTTTGTTTATTTTATTAATGTTTATTTCTTTTTGCTTATTTTACTCTGTTTTTCAAATTATTGTATGATTCAAAATAATAAATTGTCGTTAACATTGAAATTTAGCCTTGTTATAACATTGAAATTTACCGGTCGTTGTTGTGTTGCGGCTGCCTGCTGGTCGATTGGCGGCTGCTAGTCACCGGAACGGTCGACGCTGCTATAGTCTGTAGATGACTAGACGTGGGAAGTGGGAACGGTAATTTTTGCCTTTTAGGAAGTGGGTTTGTAAAGTTGAAATGTTTGAAAAGACAAACTTTTGTTTTTAATTTTAAATTATAATATTTATTTTTTAATATTAATAATTAATATAATATTAATATATATTATAATATAATATATTTCGGTAAACCGAAAAACCGAAATACCGAATTACACAAAAATCACATACCGAAAACCGAACCGAAATACCGAAAAATACAAAACCATATACCGAATACCGAACCGAAAACCGAAATACCGAAACCGAATTACCAAAATAATTCGGTTCGGTTCGGTTTTTCGGTTTTTCGGTGTTTATGCCCACCCCTATCTAGTTTACAAATTATGTTCACAGTGTATAGGTAGTGTATACTTTATACTAATATACATACCTCTACATATAATATACATCCGTATTCACCCACATACATATAATATACGTACATATACACACGTTATACAACCGAGTGTATATGTAGTGTATACTTCGGCCCTGTTCGGTAAACTAGATGGTCTAATGGTATATATTGGTAACTATCACTAAAATTTATCTATGGATTTTGAACATTGCAAATGCTTATGATGGAAGATGTTCTAACTGTCAAATGATTTACTTCTTGATAGGATGGAGATGAACTGGCTGGTCTACATTGCTTTCGACACCTTCGTGATGAATTAGCTACTTCAATTGATTCTATCAATAGGTTAGTCTATTCGAGTTAGATTGTTAATCAATTTCTTGGATTTTCTGACTTCATTTTATTATGGTTTTTGCAATTTTTCTAAGAAAAGTTGCATCTTCCATTGTAAAATTTGGTGCATTTATCTCTTGATATGTTCTTATTGAGGTGCTTGTGCTTCCAAGATAGGATTCAATAGTTTATCCAACAAATAAACTAAGTTCAGGATATAACCATCCTTTGCATAATTAATTTGCCCATCTGTTTCTATTCAGAATTGAAAGTTGTACCTACTGCTTCTTTATTTCTTGTTTTCCCAAGCACTTGGTGAGCGGATCTATTATGCTAGTATTCCCTTGAATCACCTTTTGGCATACTTTTCCTTGTAAAAAAGGTACAATATATCATTCTTTAGAATTGTCACTTACCAGATTCAATCTTGTAGCATTCTTTCAGCAGAATTTTTGCGTATAACCATACAAGAAACTGGCAACATGGATGCGGCAATTACATCAAAATTTAAAGCACGGGCAACCATTGCAATTAATGGAGAAGGCCATGAAGTAAGGGCTAACTTGTATATTTTGTATTTTGATGTTATTGCTGCAGATTATTTTCGTTCTGTATGTTAGACTGGAAAGCTTGTCTCACTTTTGTTAAAGATACAGTACCCAGTAGTTTGCATAAAGAACAGGTGTTTTGAGTCTTTATAAAACTCTAGTCGGAAGATGAAGGAATCCTACACAGCGGCTGTTCAAAACGTGCTACATGCTTGATTCTAATTGTAGTTTATATATTTTCTGTTTTTCAATAATCCAAATAAGTGGGGGTAGATGGGAGCGGAGGGTTTACATGTGTCCTCTTTATATCATCCTGAATTTCAATATATCGGTCGATAAGAAAGTTGTGGTATTAATGCCTACTATAGCAATGCTCTCCACTGCTGTGCCTTACTGCCTTAGGCAACTTGCAACAGATCAAACTAAATTGATTTTGAAATATTGCAGGCTAAATTGGATGAAGAAGAAACCTCAAATTTCCGTGACCGGCTTCTTCCATTTGTTATTGGATTACTTAGAACTGTGAGTTTTCTCTCTGGTTAATCTGTGGCATCATTGCTTATCTGTGTTATTGAAGTTTTGGGTTGATCTCAATTTCCTCGAGGTGATGACTATTCAGTGTCATATCATGATCTAGGTGACTAGGTCATTGTTCAGTGTCTTCCGACGACTCACACATGCCACTTCAATTTATACTCCCTTAGAATCTCGGGTAATTTTGATGAAGCAAAAATGTGTGTAGAAATCTGGATGATATCATATTGAGAAGTGTTAAATTGTTACTCTAGCATGTTAGGTGAAGTATCGAGTTATGTAGGTCATAAGGTAAAAGGTAGGAATCAGATGCGAAGGAGCTCTGAACATAAAGAATAACATAGAGGATATTAGAAACGGTGAAAGCCTCTGGATAGATGGAGATTAAAGTTGGAATCTGCCAAACTCTTAATCTTTTGTTGTTAAAACATAACTGTTTTAAATGGAGCATACAACAATGTACAACTGCTAGACTAAAAGATGGAGATGGGTTTATTAGTTCGACGAGTATAAGTGAAGATTAATTTTATTTAGTTACCAAATTAGAAGTAGGTTGGCATAAGAAGGAAGGGGCTGAAAACTGCCTAGGATGATATAGTGGATAGAGGTTATGTAAACCTTTCGTCCCCATTCGTTCCATAGTTTTCTCCCTGTCTTTGTGTGTTTGTATGATTACTTATCGTCAACTAGGCTCATTATCATGAGAGCCATCAAGTTTCATTATATGTGAACTAGAAAATATTATACTCTGGTCTTCTTTAATGGGTATAATTTATGGATCTATTTTCCTAAAGAAGCAGTGGAGGTCTGGTGCTCAAGGATAGCTGGTAAACCCATCAAGAAAATCTGGAATACAATTCCAGCACGTATTTTCTGTGTAGTATGGAAAGAAAGGAACAACAGATATTTTAATGGTTTATCAACTTCAAATTTCAGTACTCAAGTCTAAATGTATTCTACTCTATAGTTGGTGCAAGCTCTCCCCTGTAAATTCCCCTGAACACTTTTTGGATTTTGTTAGCTCCCTGGAACTTTAACTAGTGCGTTTTGGAGCTAACTTATATCTTCGGTAATTCTGCATCCTCTTGATGCCATCATAGGAATTTCTTATTTCATCAAATAATAAATAACTTATTGATCTATTTTCATGAATGTTTTTGAGCATTTGGAGTTTTACACAGAAATTTTTGTACGAGCATTTTCATGTTTGAATTTTATAAATTCCAGGCAAAACTCCCTGCTGTGTTGAGAATATATCGTGACACTCTTACAGCTGACATGAAAACAGCCATTAAAACAGCAGTTGAAGAGCTGCTTCGTGTTCTGGTTGCTCAACCTTCGGATTCAGATTTTGTTGCTGGAGAGCGAGTAGCTGATACAGATGGTGGGTTAACAATTTAATATATCACAGCTACTTGACTTTGACGAGAAGAGCTTGATAGAAAAGTAAATTTTTTCAACTATATTGTGCGGATCCTCTAAAGATGCGTCCCACCCGTGTAAGATCCTCCAAAAATGCACTTTTTTGTGAAGGACCCGACATGATCTTGTGGCAATTTCGGAGTATTCGAGAAACATAGATTTTCAATAGGAAAAGGGTTTATTTCCTTTTTCTTTTAATTAGAAATCAAATGGTGCTAATGAGGCTGATTCATTTTGGTCTGCACAGTTAGGGGAAGGGGGGATTGATGCTTTGGTTTTTGATTTCATGTATCTTCTGACTTAGGTGGGAGCTCATCTCTTGCCAGTAGATTGAGAAGCCTGGCACCAGAAAGTTTTGTTCAACTTTTGAAGGCAATTTTCATGATAGTGCAGGTAATGTGTACTTGCCATACCTTTCTCTGTTTATTTCGATTTGTGCTTGAATCAGGTGATGTTGCTTTTCTTTTTACACTTTTTGACATATAAAGGAACTCCTTTAGTTATTGTGGAACAAACCCACCAATCAAGCATATAAAGTTCATTTTCATGCAATATATATTCTTAAAAGGATTCTATTGCAATGTTAATAAGATCCCTAGACCCTTTGGATCAATGCTTGAGTTGTTAATTTGTTCTAACCAATGATAAGTACCTGAGATCCTCATCTGGTTCAGACTCTTAATTTGTACTCCCTCTGTCCCAATTTATATGACTTACTTTCCTTTTTAGTCAGTCCCAAAAAGAATGACACATTTCTATTTTAAGTAACAATTTGCCTATAAAATGTCTTTTTTACCCTTAATGAAATGATTTACAACCACACAAATTTCTATCATTCATTTTGGACCACACGCTTTAAGTCTTTCCATTTTTCTTAAAGTTTGTGCCAAATCAAAGTACATCATATAAAATGGGACGGAGGGAGTAGTTGATTTGGTGGTTGATGGTTGCTTATATTGATTTCTGGATAAGTTGAACTGTGTGAGTTAGAATTTCTCTGCTTTATAGGCCAAATGCATATCTTATTGCGTCTAGTATTGATTATGATGTTTTAAAGTTGTTACAATTTAACTTTCTGAGTTTTCTTCTTACAACTTCATTTCTTGGGGCATGAATATGATCCCCTTTAAGGTGTGTAGTTATCTTGAAAATGTCTTGAAAGAAACAACTAGTGCCATCTATAAGTAGAAGTCTTTTCGACAATGACTCACTTCATCATAGTCCAACCAACTATTCTGTACTCTTTTTGTCAGGTACCACTATCACCTCACCCCTCACTACCTCTTCACTACCATCATAGCTGCCAAAATTTACTATAGCTTGAATTTGAACTAAAGACCTAAATGATTAAGATAGTTGTTCCTGTAAAACATTTCATTTCAAAGATATTTTCTCTTAAAGCTGTTGTACACCCAACCGAAGGACCCTAACTTTGCAGGGGATTCTTTGGTTGGTGTTTACGAATTGGTAATTATACCCTTACTTCCCAAACTAGATTGCTTTACCAATCTAGTTTTTGCCCTTTTTTTCTTTCTTTTTGTTATTTAATTTTGGTATGATGTAACTTGATATTTTTCTTTTAGTGAATGCAGGCGCACTTAGTCCAGGCTTCTGAAGTTAAAAAAACAATTGAGTGGATTATCTGCCATCTTGATGATCATTATGCTGCTGACTCAGTTGCTGCTGCAATTGCACTTGGAGCAGCAGCTGCAGAGACTGCTAGTGAAAGTGATGGTCAGATCACCACCTTTTCACAATTTTCTCCCCCAAGCAACTTTTCCAGGGTTTTTTCAATTCAGGAGAAGGGAAATGATGCAACAACCATGTCAAATTTGTCGAGAAATTTCAGGTTTATGTACATTCATTTGCTGTTATTCTTAGATGTTTGTGCTATTATGTTTTTATTTTTGGAACCTGTAGTGAGGGAAAATCAACTTCTTGTTGTGTATTTGCTTGTTGAAAATATGTCCTTCAAACTGTGGGTATTCATATACATTTATTTGATAGATAATTACACATTTGGTCATCCTGTCATTGAAAAATTTCAAAATTGGTTCTCATAATATCCCAGTGGCATATGTAACTCCAAATTAATTTAATGTGCCTTTTGGTCTCCAAAAGAATTAATAAATTAGTGGATTTTTCGCTTCTAAACCATGCATCATCCTTGTGTTATGCTAGTGCAGGTTATTTTGGTGGGTTTTGTTTTATAGTTTAAGAAAGACAGAATTTCAAATATCATAACAATATAGTGTATTCTCTCCAAAAAAAGATTGAGTAAAAAGAAATAAAAATTTCCTTAAAATTGCTCTTGGCAATCACATAGTCCAGTCCAATCATTAAGAATCCATTACATTTGTAGTGGAGGTCAACAACAACACATTTCTTTCAATAAAAAGTTTAATGTGTGTAGTCGGCCTTCATGAGGACTAAACTGAACTTTGGCCTGATAAACCAAGACCACAATTACCCATTTCCTATCTGTATGACAGAATTTTCCTTTAAGGACATCCAAATGGTTGACACATATATACAAGTAAGGATACCATATCCATTTTATTAAAAAAGATTACTCGATCCATCTACTGATTGCAGAAATTCAAATTCATTTACACAAAGATGTAATGTTATTACAATGACTAATCAGCTTCTGCTTCAATGATCCTTCCACTCTTATCGGTTTAATTTTACTCTAAGTTACTTCATTTAACCTATAGTCTAGTGAACCATGTCATTTAAGATTGGAAGGAAATATACCATATTTCTTTTTCCAAAGTTGTTCTCATACTTTGTTCCTAGCATTCTATGTTGGTGGAAGCACATACCTCATCTGGAAAGCATGTTAACTGGCTGATGAAATTTTCTTGGCAGTTCTTTTTCTTTCTTCCTTTTGTATTTGTTCTTTTTCCTTATTTAGCGGGTTTCTGTTGGGAATGTTCCAATCCGGACTACAAAAGATTTTATTTGATTTACCCTTCGGGATGGCCCAGTGGTTTGGGCTTGGGACTTCTATGTTGGAGGTCTCAAGTTCAAAACCCCTTGCCAGCGAAAGCAAGGGTGGGTTGAGCTCGTCTAACTGGGCTTGCCTAGTGCGGGTTACCTCACCTATGTGGTTTGCGAGCTATTGCATAGGAGCGGGGGTTTTACCCTGTTCGCACCCAAAGGGTAGCGGCTGCGGGTTTCCCTTGTCATAAAAAAAGATTTTATTTGATTTGGTTCTATTACTAGTATTTAGGGCATTGAATGAGTCGAGTTTTTTTCACCCAAGGGTGTGACCCTGGGTCAATGAAGTGGGTTGAAAACTATGAGGTCTCAAATTCAAATTCCAACAAAGCCAAAAACACTAGTGCAATTTCTTTTTATCTGTACAAGCTTGGTAGACAAGGTTATTTGGTACCTGTGCTGGTGGAAAGTAGCCCATGTAATTAGTCAAGATGCGGGCAAGCTGGCCCGAACAACATTTATTGAAAAAAATGAGTCAGAGTTGTTTGCAAAACAAATTTCAAATTCACTTGTATTACCTTGAGTGATTATTTAGCTCTTAAAATCAATCATGAATAAGAAATGGAGCTTAACCTTATAATGCTACTTGGGTATAGCAATAACAAACTAATTATGCGGATATACTATATTTTATTGAATTTTATAATATATTTTTGAACATTAAGCTTGAAATTTTCTTTTTGATGTGATTTTTATTGATTTTCAGCTTATCTTACTTAGTTGAGTAGCTTGGTGGAAAGTAGTTATAAGAGTATATCTAAGGTGCTTTCCAATAAACTAAAAAGGTTTAAATGTGACAGTATCTACTTCACAGAATGCTTTTGTGAAAGAAAGACAAATCCTAGATGTAGCTTTTGTGACAAATGAAGTGGTTGATTTGAGAAGAAAGCAAGGAAACTGAGGATTTTGTGCAAATTGGATCTTGAGAAAGCCTTTGATCATATCATTTCAAAGAAAAAGAAAGCCTTTGATCACATCAAATTGGGGGCTTAAATGTGACAGTATTTTTTATTTTTTTTGAGAAGGAAAAAAATAAAAAAAATAAAAATTGGGCCTTTTGGCTAAGATCAATTGCAGTATCTATTTCATAAAATGCTTTTGTGAAAGAAAGACAAATCCTAGATGCAGCTTTGGTGACAAATGAAGTGGTTGATTTGAGAAGAAAGCAAGGGGGGGGGGGAACTATGGATTTTGTGCAAATTTGATCTTGAGAAAGCCTATGATCACGTCAACTGGGAGTTTCTTGATTTCATTATGCTGAAGATGGGGGATGTGGATAAGTTTTTGTATTTCAATAGTTAGGTTCTCGGAATTGCAACTCATGTGGTTTTCTCAGTAGTTTGAGAGGTGTTAGGCAGGGAGTTCTGCTATTTGCTATCACCTAAGTTGTTCATACTAGTTATGGAAGCAATGAGTAGGATATGGATAGAGCTGTGATGAGAGGTTACCTTGAGGGGGGTTCATCTTTACATCGGATGGGGGCAGGTACAGTAAGGGGTTCATCTTTATTAGCTGATGACACTTTAGTGATTTGTGATGTTGACAGGACTCATGTGGAGTATTTCAGAAAGTATTGACATGGTTCCAGGTGGTGTCGGGCTTAAAAGATTGATCTCAGGAAATGTGAAAATAATCCAAGTTGGTGAGATGGTGAACATTGAGATCTTAGCACAAGTGTCAAAGTCAAACTGTAGGGTGAGAGAACTTCCTACTACTCATCTTGGTCACCCACTAGGAGCATCTAACAAGGAACAACTTGGAACCCGGTTTTTAAGAGGGTTGAAAAGAGACCCACACTATGTAAACTTTCGAGAATTCCTGCATACTTTATGTATGTCTTGGATGCATGCTTCAGTTAGTGTTACAAAGAAGTAGGAACATTCTTAGAGGGACTATCTATAGGATTCTCAAGTAGGGAGGAAAAGTTTCACCAGGTAAAATTTTGAGACTGTCACGACACTCAAGTGTTGGGGTGGACTTGGGATGAAGATTTAAAGGTTTTCATCAAGGCGCTATTGGAAAAATGGTTATGAAGATTTGGATACAGGAGAGCGCTCTATGGGGGGGTGATTGCCGAGAAATATGGAGTCTTAGAAGGAGGACTAAAAATATCACTCTTCCTTGTGGGCGTGGGCTTTAGAGGGAAATCTTAAAGGGGTGGGACGAGTTTATGGGAATACATCTTTAGTGTAGGAGATGGGAGTGGGTAAGTTTTTGGAGACACAGGTGGTGCGGGAACAATTTTTTGAGTATTACTTTATCTAATATGTTGAGGATTTCATGCCAAAAGGAGATGTCGGTACAACAATATACAAAAGCTTCAAGGTGGAGAAGTTCATTGGCATTTGGTGTAAACAAGATATGATAGGGGATATAGGACTTTTTGCTGACTTTATAGGTAATTTGTAATCTCCCATAGGGTAGTTTGATATGCTTTGATGAGATTGTAAGTGATCTATGCTCATCATTTGTTTGATGATGCCTTTTGTGAATACACAGTTACCTTTATCTCAAAAAAAAAGAGTTACTTAACTAACAAAGTATCACATTGGATAGCCATGATGTATGAAGATGGGGATGGGGAATAATATCTTCTCTGTTAAGTCCTTTTGTGAGAATCTTTTGGATAGGGAGGGTTCATTTTCATACTTCTAAGTGTGGATCCCTAGGGTACAAAGAAAGGTGTGCCTTTTCTCTTGGTTAGCTACAAGAGGGGTAATATTGATGGTGGATAGTTTGAGGAATAGGAGGATACAATGAAAGGTGTGCCTTTTCTCTTGGTTAGCTGCTAGAGGGGTAATAGTGATGGTGGATAATTTGAGGAATAGGAGGAGTACTTGTGTGAGTTGGCGCTTCATGTGCAATAGTTCGGTAGACACTAATCATCTCCTTCTACATTGCTGGAGAGCATCTGTTTTTTTGGCGGGAAATACTGTGTTGGTTTGGTCTTCAATGGGTAATGCCAAGTACAGTTAAAGAAGTCTTGTTAGCTGGACTTTTAGGGGAAGGAAGAGAACAACTCATGATGTGGGATGTTTCTCCACTAGCACTTATGTGGACCGTGTCAACCTAGGTCAAACTCGTCCATAGAGTGTTGTTTGATTATTTTACGAGCCGAGCTAGTACATAGCATGTGTGAGAACAGCCCTAACCGTAGCCGGAATTTGACACGGTGACTTGAAGTTTCTCACCAATGATCTAATATCATGTGAGAAATATAGAAGAGAATATTATCGAATTGTGTATCTAAATTGTTACATAACGACCCTATTTATCGACACTACATTAGATTCCTTTTCCAACTAGGATTCCTATTCCTATTCCTATTCTTATTCGAATTCTAACAGCATGCTTGACCTTGGTTCATCTCGAGTATAAACCTGCTAGTAATTTGACTACTTTAGAAACATGCTTATTTTTTTGTTAGCAAAGTCTGCTTGGCACACTAAAATGGGATAACTATTTTATTCTGTGCTTTAAATTGGTGTCTTATTTTGGAAGACTACTTAAATTGCAACGATAGATTTGCTGGATACTTATACATCTATATTTCTTTGATAGAGCTGATATATTGAGAGAGAATACAGAAGCTGTATTTGCAGCTTGTGATGCTGCTCATGGAAGATGGGCAAAGATCCTTGGAGTCCGTGCTCCTCTTCACTCTAAGTTGAGGTTGCAGGAGTTCCTAAACATATATAACATCACTCAGGAATTTATTACCGTCACTGAGAAAGTAAAACTGTCTTTCTATGAAGTATATCCTTTACTAATTTTAATTTGTGTGTCTATGCTTATAATTCTCTGTTATTCAAATATAAGCAGATTGGTGGAAGGTTGGGGTATAGTATCCGTGGAACCATACAATCACAGGCCAAGGCCTTTGTTGATTTCCAACATGAATCTCGAGTTTGTTCCTTTTCCAGCTGAATTTATGAATCTCGAGTTTGTTCCTTTTCCAGCTGGATTATTAATTGTTTTTATTGGTTAATTCAGATGGCAAAGTTGAAGGCTATACTTGACCAAGAAAATTGGGCTGAGATTGATGTCCCCGATGAGTTCCAGACTATTGTCACATCACTGTTCTCTTCCAAGTCAGAGACCAGTGGACATGCTGATGATGATTCTGCTGACACTGCAACAAGCAAAATTGAAGTGGTTCGAAACAGCAGTGATCCTTCAATGGTGGATGCTGGACTCCTAAATATATCACATAATACAGAGCAGACTGATTCTACTAAAACACACCCAGATAATACAGCACAGGTTAGTTTTTCACAATTGAGCTGATAAGCTCAGGGCAGTACTGATTTGAGACTATTTTAATTCAGAGTAATGACACGAAATCAAGAGATCGCGGAAGATCATCTCCTAGAATGCTATCGTTTGGGGGTGTTGCGTATCACATGGTAAACTGGTCAGTGATTCTTTCTTATTCAGATAAATTCATCTGTTCATTTGAGTTAACTTGCAGGTTTTTTTTTCCAGTTTTCATTTCTTTGTCATAATTTTCTCTCTCAAACGTTTCTCTTCTTGGCCCTTGGTTCTTAAATACTTAGGGGTTGTTTGGTACAAACATTGATAACGCAAGGATTAGTAACACATGGATTAGTAATGCAGGGATTAGTAATACATGGATTATTTTTTATGAAGCGTTTGGTTCATTCCTTTCCACTTAATCTTGTGTTTGAGTTAAAACTCTATGAAAAAATTCTTTCCTATTATACCCTTTATTATGAGATTTTCTATTTTTTGTAATTGGGTCAATGTAGATAACCGCCGGACAATATATTTTTTTTGTAGGATTTTCCATTTCATTTAACTAGTCAAGTTAAATACTAATGTATATATATATATATATATATATATATATAAAATAAAAATAAAAATTGTTAGTTAATTTTTAGGTGTGATGTACCACTATGGAGATCCTAGATGGCACGGTGTATTTCTATTTTTTTGTTGGTCAAATATATCTTAAACTTAACATAGATATAAGGGTACTTAAATTGTTCAAATACCTGAAGCTTATTAAAAAAAAAAAAACAAATAGTTCAAGTGGTCAATTGACGAACTACTTTGAGTAAAAAAACCCAAAAAAGGGACAATTTTATTGTAGTAAAATCATCAAATTACACTAAACGGATTTGGAGAATTAAAAAGAACATATATAACCATTCCAATATAAATAAAAAGGACATCAAATTATAAAAGAAATTTATAACCATTCCAATATAAACCTTGGGGATAGTTTAGTCATTTAGGGGTCTTTGTTGTTAAACCTTGGATTAGTTATCCCTCCATTTTCTAGGGATAAAATAAGACCTCATATGGTGTACTAATCCATGGATTAAGTTAAATAAAGTAACCAAATGATGTATTTGATGGACTAAATTTTAATCCATGGACTATTCTAATTAATACTGCCTACCAAACGGATCCTTAATGCTGCCTGGTACTTAATATTACCTCCTTCCCCTTATTGCTACTGTTTCCTGGTCATTTAGCATGGTTTCATTTTTCTTCTCAAGGCTGGAACCTGCAAAAATAACATCATAATGTTGCTTTTCAGTGGCTTGATTTTGGTGAAGATGTTGTCAGAATATATTGACATGAATAATAGTTTAACTGGCCTATCATCAGAAGTAGTTCACCGTGTTGTTGACATCTTGAAGTTTTTCAATACGAGAACTTGTCAACTTGTACTTGGAGCTGGAGCCATGCAGGTATACTCTTGCTATCTAAATCAACAATGTGTACCTTATGGATCATTCCTTGGATATACCAAACAATTTGGATGCAATCCACAAGCCCATCATCCCTTCTACTTCCTATCCTATTCATCGATTGTATTGCCTTTTAGGATAAAATGGGCCTGAACAGACTAGTGCATGTAGTTTGGGAGTGAGGATAGTTGATTGGTTGATTTATACTATTTTTGATAGGCAAAGTAAATGTTCCATTATTGTAATAAAGCAACATAAAGAGAGGCACTTATAGACAAAATTGATGTACTAAGGCTAATCCCATGGGAATTTTAAAATTTTATCAGACTATCTATTGCATATACATCTTTGGGTTTTCACCAAAATGCTAATTGCTGCAAACAAATATCTTTTATCTATGTATATGTTGAGCTATCCCATCAAAACATCTTATATTTATATGTTTTGACTGGCATTTCAAGTACCTTGGTCTTATGCAATGCCTATTACATGTATAATAACGGTCTTTAGCCCTTGTAGGTGTTATGTGGGTCGTATGGAAGGAGAAAAATAGGAGAATGTTTGAAGGGGTTGAAAATGATTTTGTACAATTAAAGAAATCTTTTATTTCTAGTTTCATTTAGGTGCAGCAATAAGGTTTTATTTGTCTAAAAGATTGAGTATCTTTATTTGAGAAACATATGTTTGTGTAGGTTCTGATATTCTTGGTGTATGACTTGGATACAGGTTTTGATGCAGGGGTTCTCCACCATTAATAAAATCATTTACTTCATCATCACAATAGTAGATTGCTTAGTTGATTTTCTTTTTATAAGATATTTTAGGAATTAGCTTCAAAGTGAGTCAGGGGGATTCACTGGGAGTGTATCTCCCACCTACAATATGCTGATGACACATTAGTATTTTGTGATGCAGAAAGTGAACAACTGAAACACTTAAGGGTTATTTTCATTTTGTTTGAAGCAATATCTGGACTCCATATCAATTGTGGAAAGAGCTTTATTTATCCTGTGAATGAAGTACCACAGATCAGCCTCCTGGCAAACATTTTAGGTGGCAAGATAGGGGAACTTCCCACCACCTATCTTGGCATGCCTTTGGGAGCTAAGAGTAAAATCTTTGAGCATCTGGAACTCTGTGGTAGAAAAATGTGAAAGGAAGTTGGCTGACTGGAAAAGTCAATACTTATCCTCGGGTGGTAGAGTCACACTTATCAACAGTGTTCTTGATGCCATGCCAACCTATATGATGTCCCTTTTTCCTATGCCTGGGAAGATCATTCAGAAGCTGGACACAATCTAGAGAAATTTTCTTTGGCAAGGTAATGGGGAAGGGGTCAAGAAATTTCACTTGGTCAAGTGGGATGCTGTTATTTCCAACAAAAAAGAGGGAGGTCTGGGAATTAAGAATTTGAAAGCCCACAATAAGAGCCTTCTGCTAAAATGGCTCTGGAGACTAGCAACAGATGATCAGAGCTTATGGAAGGACACTATCTTTGCAAGATATGGAAAGGAAGGATCATGGACTACTAAGGAGGTCAATACTCCTTATGGTGTGGGTCTATGGAGAACTATTAGAAATCAGTGGCCAAGAATTTGGAACAACTCTGTGATTAATGTGGGAAATGGGAGGAAAACCTTGTTCTGGAATGATACATGGATGGGACAAACACCTTTGAGACAACAGTTCCCAAACATTTATATTCTCAATCAGCAGAAAATGGCTACAATTGTAGAAGTCAGAAATGAACAAGGATGGAACCTGATTTTTAGAAGGTTCCTCAATGACTGGGAAGTGGAGAGAATGACTCAGTTCTATAATACCTTGGAACAAGCCAAGAACCTCACTTGTGAGGAAGACAAATTGCATGGAAGCTGGAGAAAGATGGCAAGTTCAAGGTGAAATCAGCCTACAAATTACTAGACACTTCAACTGAAACAAAGGAGTTGTGGCCTTGGAAGATGATCTGGAAAGGGAAAATACCACATAAGGTGGCTTACTTCACATGGCTTTTCCAAGACAATCTGTTCTGACTCGAGATAACTTAATGAAAAGAGGAAAGGACTTATGCTCCAGATGCTTTTTTTGTGAATTTGAGACAGAGACAATAAACCATCTTTTTTTGCATTGTAAAGTGACTGAGAAGCTATGGAAGTATTTCATTAACCGAAGAGGTATCACATGGACCATGCCTAGAAATACTGCAGAAGTCCTAGCATGTTGGAATAGAGATGAAAATCAGTCAGGACACAAGGAGAGATGGAAGTTTGTCCCTGCCTGCATTTGGTGGACAATAAGGAGTGAGAGAAATCAGAGATGTTTTGTGGTGGACAATATGGAGTGAGAGAAATCAGAGATGTTTTGAGAACAAGAGCATCCCTTTCCAAAGCATTAAAATGAATTGTTTAGTGACCTTTTACTTTTGGTGTATCCATTCTATTCCCAAGGATCCGGGGGACATCACTCTATTCTTAGATAGTTTATGAGGGAGATAGGTGTTTAGATTCTTTTTGGTAAACCCTCTATACTTTTGATGTAATTACTACAGGAGTTCACTATTGGTGTACTTCTATGTTTATAATACCAGTTAACTTTCTCAAAAAAAAAAGTGACTAGGAGGCCAAGTTTTTTTTTTTTTTAGAATAGATAACATTTGTATTATAAACCAGCACTTGGGTAGTGCTAAACCCCTTTACAGGAGAGAGTATAGCAATAAAACAAAGAACTCCTAATTCTAGCATGACTCTAACACTTCTAGGATATCTTCTGCATCTATAGGATAGTTTTTTTTTTGAAATCGGTAACTTTCTATAGGATAGTTCTTTGTACACCTAAAACACAAAAGCAATATACAATCTGTTTTAATCTTCTGTATTGTTCTACTCCTGTCTTGAAAAACCTAGCATTCCTCTCCTTCCAGATGGTCCACTATATACAGGCTGGGATGCTTCTCCAGTAGCTCCTGCTTTTAGCTCCCTTCCGAGCTTCTTCCTAACTAGATAGAGTGTCAACAATCTTGCTAGGCATTGTCCATTATATGCCGCTGAGATTGATGAAAATCTTACATAGCTGGTCAGTGATTCAGCAATGCAGGAACAAGTGTCCAACTGTCTTAGCTGCCTCTCCACACAAACATCAGTGTGTGACTTAAGATAATGTTCCTCTTCCTTTGGTTTTCATGTGTCAAAACAACTTCTTTTGTTTATATAGAGGGTAGGGTTGCAACTTCTTTCCCTAGGCTTTTAATTTGCATGCTAAAATGTAGTCTGGTTTCCTTGAATATGCAAAAGAATTCCACCAAGAACTGATTTTGTCTATAAATCTCTGTGTTTAGCCATCAATATTCAAATTTGAAATAAGATTTGTAGAGCAATATGGTCTGACGTCAGTCTTTGTAGAGCAATCTGCTTCACTTTACTGAATTGTTCACTCCACTCAGATGTGAATATAATTCTATCAATCCTTGATTGCAGCAGTGTTCAAATCTCCCCTGAACCATGTATGTGCTCCTCCTTCAAGTGGAAAATCAAAAAGCTCCAAGTCTTCTATGGTATCTGAGAATTCTACCATGGCAGAAGACCTTCTTTGTCAGTTCCTCTTCTCTGTGGGGAACCCTACACACATTGAAGTCCCAGCATACTACCCAAGGACCGTCCATTACACCTCTAGGAAGTGCATTCCATTCATATCAGTAGCATAAAACCCCACATAAAGTCTCCAATAACCATTTACTCGCATGCGTACTCTTCTCCACTTGCCATTTCTGCACTGATTCACCAAATCATCCAGATAAGTAACGTTACAAGAATGATGAACTTGCTTTATCGATTATCACGTGCACTTCAATGACCTGGCTAGCTGATTTGAACTTTTTGGTAGTCTTGAATTGATAGCCGCCACTTGGTAATAATTCTTCTGACTTGTTCAGGCTTCCATCTTATGATTGATGACTTCTCTGCGTATCTCTGTGTATTGCAGTAATTTCGATCCTTCTGGTCTCTTGGTGGAAATTGATGACATGATCTTTTATATTCCTGAGGCATTTTAATACACACTGCCTAAAAAATTGGATTGCTCACAATATGATAATCATAGATCTCTATTCTCTTACTCCATAGCTGACATGGTCATGTTTTTCCTTTCCTTTTTTATGCCAATTTGTAGGAGATGGGTACACCATCAAAGCTCTTTCAATCTTTTTCAAATTGACTCAAAATTATTTTTGCGCATGATGATTTCATTTCAATAATCAACTGCTACTCCTTTCAAAAGATGTTTTCTTGCAATAAAAAAAGGCTATTATCTTGCCATTTCACCACATTGATTATTGACTTCTGATTGTTGTTGTATCCCACTTGAAGGATCTGGGGTGTATGTTAGTGAGCACATATTTCTGGTCTGCGACTTGTTTTTGGTGGTTTTTAAGATCACAAATATGCCAGAAAAAGTATTATATTGATGTTTTATTTTTTCAGATATTCTTCTGAATCATTATCAACCAATAGAAGCTTTCAGCTTTTCTATAGTTTGCCTGTAACTTGGACTAAACATTTTCTAGTTTCTATCTTGTATATGCAGTATTGGTGTCGTTAATTAGAGAAAAAATTGCAGGTGTCAGGTTTGAAGTCTATTACTTCTAAGCACTTGGCTTTGACAAGCCAAGTCATCGGTTTCACATACACTATAATTCCAGGTAGGCAATGATGACGAAGCTTTTCACTGGTGGTTCTTATATTGTTTCTGGCTTTTGTCTAGTTCCTTGTCTAATATTGTATTCATTGTTGATCTTTGGTTTAAGATATATCAATGTGCTCAGACATTGTTCCAATGGAAATAACATGTCATTACCATTTGTGTAAAGTTTCTACCTGAATGGTGGTTGGAATTTAAAGGGGAAAGTATGCTGTTTATTTACATTGTATCTTTCTACCTCTGTCAGTGTATAGTTGAAATCATTAACAGTGGGAAGTCCATTGTCCATCATACTAAAAATCATGTATTGACATCTTTCTACTTGAGTGTCTGAATAAGTATTCTGAGGAAACCAACCATTCAGGTTTTCGGTAGAGTTAATCTATTTTCATCAGTGAATGCATCCTGCCTTGGGTGTTTTTGCATTACTCATGATCACCTCTGTCAGTTGGTAATTCTGAAAGCAGCAAGTTCCATCAAATCTTAATAGTTGTATAATTCCTTATTCTTATTGAGAACTCCTGGTTTACCACAATCATGTCAAAAATTGTTGATTTCCGACTTGAACCTGTGTCTTTAATTGCAGAATCTTACCTATCTCATCAGCCATTTTATTTTCCCTTCATCTCTCTGTCCCATATGCATAGTGATTACAAACCTGAAACTCTGTTGACCATGCTCATTTTCTCCAGTTATTCAGCCTTTCTTCATTAGACTATTAAGTGCTACATCTCTTTTTTCACCCTTTTTTCATTAGGCTCTTTAGTGCTACATATAATTTTCTCATTCTTTCTAATTAGATTACTTACTTAGTGGGGCCAATTCATGAGGTCCCAGGTTCAAGTCCCAGCGAAGACAAAAATACTAGGTGATTGCTTTCCATCTGTCCAAGCCATGGTGGGTAGAGTTACCCAGTATCTGTGTTGGTTGGAGGTAGCAGGTACCTAGTGGAATTAGTCAAGGTACAAACAATTGGCCAAAATACCACCATATTAAAAAAATTAGACTACTTAGTACTGCATTGAGCAGAAATCAGGCATGGACCCCTATCCATAAATTAAAATCCAAAAGGCATATACATATGGAGGGGGACATGGTGCCTTACCTCTTCAAAACTAAGTAATGATTGAGTGTACTCTACCCTTTACAATTTTGTGCAGACCTAGTCTAGTTATCTTGACTTAGTCTATGAAAGATTAGAAAAATACTAGGCTTAGGAGGACTCCTCCTAATTACATGTGATTACTTTATATGTTACTTTCTTTAGGCCATAAAGGGTTTCTTTTCTCAATATTAGAGTTGTCTCTTCTTCCTGATTCCCAAGATAAATTGGTAAGGGACACCCAAGAGACAAAAGTATTTCATTTTATCTGAAAAGGAGAGGAGGATCAAATTCGTCTAACTCAATTTGTTGACGGCAGATGTTAGAAATCATCTTGAGTAATGATTCTTATTACTATTGTTTGAAATATGATATGGTTGTGTAATAACGTATGTTCTCCCTTAACTGCATAGGAACTGTGTAGAAGTATTTTTCATGCTTAAAGAACTTTTAAAAATTTCTTTGTTACCTATTGTGTAACTTGTTTCTATTTCGGACATTTTGTGTGTTGAAAGAAATCAAGAGAATACTGTTTCTGAGAGTGCCTGAAACACACAAGGGATTGCTAATGCTGGAGGTTGATCGAGTAGCACAGGTAAGGAAGAAATTTTGCTTATACTTATTCCAGCATATTCCTTCCATCCTAGTAGAGTAGCACTTGAAGAATGCATATTTTCTGTTTCTTCACCAGCCTTCAAGATTTTTAATGAGGTTCCATTTTCATTTGTGAAAGTTCCTTGGGTATTTTTCATTTTTCTGTTCTTTCTGTTAACTTGATGTAGATTCTCTTTTTCTTCTTTTTGGGAGGGTGAGGTTGGGATAAGGAGGGAGTGTAACTTCAAGGCTTTTATCCTTTCTTCACTTGTTAAGTTTGGACCACCTTGATGCCTGTTAGTATATTATTTTTTTACTTATAAAAGAGAGATGGCACCCTTTTAATTGTACTATATGTGAGTACGGTATTGTGTGGAAGAAAACAAAGAACAAAGGGCTTCTTTTTTAATGTTACCGCTAGTTATGCAAGTATGTACCATATCAATCTATACCTATCCCACACTATTCCTTGTATCTATTCACATTTATTTGTTTTTCTCTCTCATTCTCAATAGAAAATCAACTGCTATTATGTTTTAGTGTGTCCCAGTCAAATATTTTTCTTTGCTGAGATCATTGTACTTTTAAAGCATCATAATCCAAGATTTTGGCTGGACATCCTTGACCCTAATCTCTCTCTGGAATTAGGACTACAAAGTTCATCGTGATGAAATACATTCGAAGTTGGTACAGATAATGCGAGAAAGATTGCTGGTACACCTTCGGAGTTTGCCACAGATTGTTGAAAGTTTGAATAGGCAGGAAGATACTGACTCACAGCCAAGCCAGTTTGCTCGTTCAATCACAAAGGTAGAAGTTTGTTTGTTATAGGTCTCACTGCTTTTTTACCCCAGTTTCCCCATTTTCCCAACTTTTTTTAAATTAAGAAATGTTGTCAATTGTGAAAGAGAAAGTTAGGGTGGGCTTACTCATTTTTTATCATTTCTCAATGATTTCGCATTTGCTTTTTGCAAATACAAGATATATAAGTTTTCATCATTTTAGAGATGTTTTTGAAATCAATAGAAATTAAAGGTTTTGCGCGTATCTCTGTGTATTGCAGTAATTTCGATCCTTCTGGTCTCTTGGTGGAAATTGATGACATGATCTTTTATATTCCTGAGGCATTTTAATACACACTGCCTAAAAAATTGGATTGCTCACAATATGATAATCATAGATCTCTATTCTCTTACTCCATAGCTGACATGGTCATGTTTTTCCTTTCCTTTTTTATGCCAATTTGTAGGAGATGGGTACACCATCAAAGCTCTTTCAATCTTTTTCAAATTGACTCAAAATTATTTTTGCGCATGATGATTTCATTTCAATAATCAACTGCTACTCCTTTCAAAAGATGTTTTCTTGCAATAAAAAAAGGCTATTATCTTGCCATTTCACCACATTGATTATTGACTTCTGATTGTTGTTGTATCCCACTTGAAGGATCTGGGGTGTATGTTAGTGAGCACATATTTCTGGTCTGCGACTTGTTTTTGGTGGTTTTTAAGATCACAAATATGCCAGAAAAAGTATTATATTGATGTTTTATTTTTTCAGATATTCTTCTGAATCATTATCAACCAATAGAAGCTTTCAGCTTTTCTATAGTTTGCCTGTAACTTGGACTAAACATTTTCTAGTTTCTATCTTGTATATGCAGTATTGGTGTCGTTAATTAGAGAAAAAATTGCAGGTGTCAGGTTTGAAGTCTATTACTTCTAAGCACTTGGCTTTGACAAGCCAAGTCATCGGTTTCACATACACTATAATTCCAGGTAGGCAATGATGACGAAGCTTTTCACTGGTGGTTCTTATATTGTTTCTGGCTTTTGTCTAGTTCCTTGTCTAATATTGTATTCATTGTTGATCTTTGGTTTAAGATATATCAATGTGCTCAGACATTGTTCCAATGGAAATAACATGTCATTACCATTTGTGTAAAGTTTCTACCTGAATGGTGGTTGGAATTTAAAGGGGAAAGTATGCTGTTTATTTACATTGTATCTTTCTACCTCTGTCAGTGTATAGTTGAAATCATTAACAGTGGGAAGTCCATTGTCCATCATACTAAAAATCATGTATTGACATCTTTCTACTTGAGTGTCTGAATAAGTATTCTGAGGAAACCAACCATTCAGGTTTTCGGTAGAGTTAATCTATTTTCATCAGTGAATGCATCCTGCCTTGGGTGTTTTTGCATTACTCATGATCACCTCTGTCAGTTGGTAATTCTGAAAGCAGCAAGTTCCATCAAATCTTAATAGTTGTATAATTCCTTATTCTTATTGAGAACTCCTGGTTTACCACAATCATGTCAAAAATTGTTGATTTCCGACTTGAACCTGTGTCTTTAATTGCAGAATCTTACCTATCTCATCAGCCATTTTATTTTCCCTTCATCTCTCTGTCCCATATGCATAGTGATTACAAACCTGAAACTCTGTTGACCATGCTCATTTTCTCCAGTTATTCAGCCTTTCTTCATTAGACTATTAAGTGCTACATCTCTTTTTTCACCCTTTTTTCATTAGGCTCTTTAGTGCTACATATAATTTTCTCATTCTTTCTAATTAGATTACTTACTTAGTGGGGCCAATTCATGAGGTCCCAGGTTCAAGTCCCAGCGAAGACAAAAATACTAGGTGATTGCTTTCCATCTGTCCAAGCCATGGTGGGTAGAGTTACCCAGTATCTGTGTTGGTTGGAGGTAGCAGGTACCTAGTGGAATTAGTCAAGGTACAAACAATTGGCCAAAATACCACCATATTAAAAAAATTAGACTACTTAGTACTGCATTGAGCAGAAATCAGGCATGGACCCCTATCCATAAATTAAAATCCAAAAGGCATATACATATGGAGGGGGACATGGTGCCTTACCTCTTCAAAACTAAGTAATGATTGAGTGTACTCTACCCTTTACAATTTTGTGCAGACCTAGTCTAGTTATCTTGACTTAGTCTATGAAAGATTAGAAAAATACTAGGCTTAGGAGGACTCCTCCTAATTACATGTGATTACTTTATATGTTACTTTCTTTAGGCCATAAAGGGTTTCTTTTCTCAATATTAGAGTTGTCTCTTCTTCCTGATTCCCAAGATAAATTGGTAAGGGACACCCAAGAGACAAAAGTATTTCATTTTATCTGAAAAGGAGAGGAGGATCAAATTCGTCTAACTCAATTTGTTGACGGCAGATGTTAGAAATCATCTTGAGTAATGATTCTTATTACTATTGTTTGAAATATGATATGGTTGTGTAATAACGTATGTTCTCCCTTAACTGCATAGGAACTGTGTAGAAGTATTTTTCATGCTTAAAGAACTTTTAAAAATTTCTTTGTTACCTATTGTGTAACTTGTTTCTATTTCGGACATTTTGTGTGTTGAAAGAAATCAAGAGAATACTGTTTCTGAGAGTGCCTGAAACACACAAGGGATTGCTAATGCTGGAGGTTGATCGAGTAGCACAGGTAAGGAAGAAATTTTGCTTATACTTATTCCAGCATATTCCTTCCATCCTAGTAGAGTAGCACTTGAAGAATGCATATTTTCTGTTTCTTCACCAGCCTTCAAGATTTTTAATGAGGTTCCATTTTCATTTGTGAAAGTTCCTTGGGTATTTTTCATTTTTCTGTTCTTTCTGTTAACTTGATGTAGATTCTCTTTTTCTTCTTTTTGGGAGGGTGAGGTTGGGATAAGGAGGGAGTGTAACTTCAAGGCTTTTATCCTTTCTTCACTTGTTAAGTTTGGACCACCTTGATGCCTGTTAGTATATTATTTTTTTACTTATAAAAGAGAGATGGCACCCTTTTAATTGTACTATATGTGAGTACGGTATTGTGTGGAAGAAAACAAAGAACAAAGGGCTTCTTTTTTAATGTTACCGCTAGTTATGCAAGTATGTACCATATCAATCTATACCTATCCCACACTATTCCTTGTATCTATTCACATTTATTTGTTTTTCTCTCTCATTCTCAATAGAAAATCAACTGCTATTATGTTTTAGTGTGTCCCAGTCAAATATTTTTCTTTGCTGAGATCATTGTACTTTTAAAGCATCATAATCCAAGATTTTGGCTGGACATCCTTGACCCTAATCTCTCTCTGGAATTAGGACTACAAAGTTCATCGTGATGAAATACATTCGAAGTTGGTACAGATAATGCGAGAAAGATTGCTGGTACACCTTCGGAGTTTGCCACAGATTGTTGAAAGTTTGAATAGGCAGGAAGATACTGACTCACAGCCAAGCCAGTTTGCTCGTTCAATCACAAAGGTAGAAGTTTGTTTGTTATAGGTCTCACTGCTTTTTTACCCCAGTTTCCCCATTTTCCCAACTTTTTTTAAATTAAGAAATGTTGTCAATTGTGAAAGAGAAAGTTAGGGTGGGCTTACTCATTTTTTATCATTTCTCAATGATTTCGCATTTGCTTTTTGCAAATACAAGATATATAAGTTTTCATCATTTTAGAGATGTTTTTGAAATCAATAGAAATTAAAGGTTTTGCAAGTTTAATAAACAGGTATGTAATGGTCTATTAATAATAAACATGATCAACTTAGAACGTGCTAAGGTCATTACGGGATTAGAGTTTCCCCAAAACAAAAATAAAAACAAAAAAAGACACCTTTTGTACAAAGTTCCTATTCGTGTAGAGAATCTATGAATTGTTGCATGCTGTATTCATCTTTGACATCCTGTAGATTGTACCAAAAAGCCAAAATCCATAAGCATCTGAAATTGATCTTTTGTAAAAACATCTGCTTTTCCTTCAAAACATCTTGCATTCCTTTCCCTCCACAATATCAAACAAACGCAAGCAGGTGCTGTATTTCAAACCTTTCTCGAAGATTTCCTTAATCCCCCAACACTCTTAACTGAAAAGTTCCTTGACTGAGTAAGGCATGATAAACCTATGTGGAACAAGTGA